GAGAGAGAGAGAGAGAGAGAGAGAGAGAGAGAGATTGTGATGCTAAGTGAACTGAAAACAATGTAAAGAAACTGAGAAAAGCTTTAAATTTTGAAAGGTCAAGATGCTTTTAACTTACAAAGAGCAACTTCACACACTTTGTCTTCTGCAGGATGGAACAATAGGAACCAGCTTTACTGTCCTGCAGAAATTCCTTTAAAAACAGCAACAGAGAGAAAGAAGCTGTGCAATCTTCTTTTTCAAGCCCTGAACACCACACAATTGGCACTGGCCCTCCAGGATCAGGATAGGTGAGTCCCATACTGCCACAGCTGTCTTATTCTGAGTTCTCAGTGATCCTTCAAGACAGGGACATCCAAACCCTGGTCAGTGGATTCTGGCTGCTAAGGAAGTCAGAGACAGGGTCTCTAAGAGACAGGGTCAGAATGGAGAGAGCTGTACAGAAAGATGAAGACCCTAAGTGCACTCTACCATCGCAAAACAGAGCTCTCACCTCAAAGGAAATAGGATAATTTATTCTTGAGCTAATATGAGTGACCATGTCTAAGACTGTGGAGTCAGACTGCCACTTAGCATGGTCCAACATAAAAATGATTTCATAAAGGTTTTCTAGTTATAGAACAAAAGAAAGTTATGAATCAAGCATTTAAAAAGTGCATTAGTTGAGATCCAAGATGGTTCCCCCAGGAGCAGGGAGCAGATGAACTGTGGTGGGGAAACAGCCTGGGCTGACCCTCAGATTATGGGGTCTGGGAGGCCTGTCCCATGCCAGAGTGATAGCTAAAGAAAACAACAAGCAGTTTTGAAGAGGAGCATCAAGTGGCAGGGGAGCATGCAGCCTGTGTATGGAGCCCAGCACCCTTCTCTCAACCCCCAACTCACCAAAAAGTTCGGAGAGATGGCTCAGCAGTTAATAGTGCTTGCTGCTCTTGCAGAAGACCTGAGTTCAGTTTCCAGCACTCATGGCCAATGTTTCACAAGCTCCTGCACCTGAGGGTCCAACGATCTGACATCTTCTTCTGGCTTCCATGTGCACCTATACTCATATGCACATACCCACACACAGACACATACACATAATTTTTTTAAATTCTTTTTAAAAAACGAAAATACTGACATTTACTACCTGGAGTTCATACTCACAGGACACACACACACACACACACACACACACACACACACACACACACCAGGAACCACTGCAACCAAGTGGCTAAGCAGCACTCTAAACCCACACTCACTGCCTGGGGTACACAACACACACACACACACACACACACACACACACACACACACGAAAATAAATTTTTTAATTAAAATATTTTTTAAATGCATTGGTTGAAACATCAGGTAGGCAGGCTACAGCACAGAGGAGAAATCTCTGCTATAGTTTCAGATGTTATCTGATGGCATTCTTAGATTTTGAGTTGTGGAAGTTACTGATCTGTTAATCATTCTAAAACATTTCACCTGGATGTCACAAGCAAGGTCTCTCATCCTAGTTCCCTAACCTTCCCAAGCAGCACCACCTACTGGAAACCAAGTGTTCAAACACATGACCCTATGGAGGACATTCCTCATTCAAACCATGGTATTCTACTCTGCTCCTATAAACTCTTGGCCAACCCATGACACAAAATGCATTTAGTCCAACATCAAAAGCCCCATACTCTTTTTTTTTTGTCTTTGTTCTAGTTTGTTTCTCAATTGCTGTGACAAAATACTCTGACCAGTACCAACTTGGGGAGGAGAGGGTTTATTTTCTATTATATCTCCCAGGTCACAGTTCGTCAGGGAACCCAAGGTAGGAGCTCAGGGAAGGAACCTAGAAGCAGGAGCTGGAGCACAGGCCATGGAGGAACACTGCTTACTGGCTTGCTCCCCTGGCCCCTGCTCAGTATACCTTCTTATGCAACACAGGCCCATTTGCGCAGGGGGGGCACCACTCACAGTGGACTGGGCCCTCCCACATCACTCAACAATCAAGAAGATGCCCCACAGACATGGCCACAGGCCAGTCTAATAGAGGCAATTCCCCAACTGAGGCTCCCTCAAACCAGGTGTGTCAAGTTGACACTAAAGTTATCCAGCGCAGTCTTTTTGAGACAGGGTCTCCCTGTAGCCCCAGCTGGCCTGGAACTCACTATGTAGACCAGGGTGGCCCTGAAACTCACAGAAATCTACCTGCCTCTGCCTCCCGAGTGCTGGGATTAAAGGCATGCATCGCCACACCTGGCAAAAGTTCCATGGTCTTTAACAGTCCTAACATTGTTCAAAAGTCCAGTCTTTTCTGAGTCTCGAGGAAATCTTTTAACTGTGACTCCCTATAAAATAAAAAATAAAAAAATAAAAAATTACATACTGCTAACACACAATGGCACAGAGTATATATCCCATTTCAAGAAGGAGGAATGGGAGCATAATGAGGAAAGATCGGGCCAAAGCAAGACCAAAACCCAGCAGAGCAAACCCCAAACCCTGTAGCTACACGCTGACTCTCTAAGGCTTTAGTTTCAAAGAGCTTACATGGCTCTGCAAGGCATGGAGGTACACACCTGTAATCCTAGTACTTCATGAGGTGGAGACTGGAGGATCAGAAGTTCCAGAGACTCTGTCTCAAAAAACTGAAGAAAAAACAATCTTAGTGGATTTGATTGATCTGCCTGTGCTAACCTAATGAGTTTCGATAATCATCATCATCATAGCAGATACAATTTATTCACCCCTGTTTTCCTTAAAGTGATATCATTCAAAGTGTATGTTATAGAGATGTGGCAGCTCAGAGAAGTGAAGTGGATACTGGCACTGAGAATAAACCCTTAAACTATAAATATGGGGCTGGAGACATGGATCAGCTGTTAAGAGAACTGACTGTTCTTGCAGAGGAACTGGGTTCAGTTCCCAGCATCCATATGGCAGCTAATAACTATCTGTAGCTCCAGTTTCAGGGGATCCAACACCTTCTTCTGATCTCCTTGGGCTTTGAATGACACAGGTACACTTACATACATACAGGCGTAACATTCATATACATAGAAATAAAAAATAAAATATTTTGAACTATAAGCAGCAAATTCACATTTCTGTGATGATCAAGCCAGGATCCACCTTGCTGAACAGGACACAGATAAACCACTTGCTTCCAGATTCACTCTTGAATCACTGCAGGTGCAGGCTGTATGTGAGCCATGATAAACAGAATCACACAGATGTGATAGGTTAAGGTAACTTTCCAAAGTCATTCTGTGTATAAAAAGTCAAAATCTAGCCAGGTGTCGTGGCACACACCTGTGGTCCCAGCACTTGGGAGGCAGAGGCAGGTGGATCTCTGTGAGTTTGAGGCCAGCCTGGTCTACATAGTGAATTCCAGACCAGCTAGGACTACAGGGAGACCCTGTTTCAAGAAGACCAAAAAAAAAAAAAAAGCCCAAATCCATTTTTTTAATCAAGCTAAATTACCACATTATATGTTGGACATGAATTTTTGAACCTAGAATTTGATAATACATCATGATTTGCATCATTTTGGATGTTTAAAAAAATTTTATTATTTTTATGTGTATTGCCTACATGTAGGTAAGTGTACCCGTGTCGTGCAATGCCCACAGAGGGCAGAAGAGGCTGTCGGATCCCCTGGAACTGGAGTTATGGACAGTTCTTAGCTGCCATGTGGGTGCTGGGATTCCAGTGGGTACTGGGATGCAAACCCCAGTCTTCTGCAAGAACAGCCAGTGCTCTTAACCACTGAACCATCTCTCCAGCCCCTGAATAATATGTTTTTTAAAAGGATCTTATCCAGCTGAGAGCATCCTACAATGTCTTCTTTCACTCCCTGGGGCAGGTGTCACTGAAATCACTCCTCTTTTATGAACACCATTGAAATGAAGTGGGTGCTGTTGAAAAATATATATAAAAGTCAGGAGCCATGAAGTCTCTCAGGCAGGTCACGTACCGGTCAGGAATTCCAACTCACTGAAAAGTAAGTTTTATGGCTGAGACATCTGGCCTACTGATAAGTAAGTTTTATGGCTGAGACATCTGGCCTGCTGATAAGTAAGTTTTATGGCTGAGACATCTGGCTTACTGATAAGTAAGTTTTATGGCCGGGACATCTCCAACTCACTGATAAATAAGTTTTATGGTTGGGACATCTGGCTTAGTGATAAGTAAGCTCCCCGCTCTCCCTGTAGCATTTTGTAATAGTTTAAACGAACCAATAACCGCGTTTCTGCTTCTGTACCCCGCTTCTGCCCTATAAAAGCTCCACAAACCCGACCTGAGGCGCGCAAGTCCCCCGAGGAGACTTTGTGCCCACAGGTACCTGTGTACTAAATAAACCTCTTGCTGTTGCAACCCGAAGGCTGGCTTGTCCTCTGTGGTTTTTCTCTCCTACACTGTTGCCACAGGTGAATATAAATAACAATAATGTTCTGTACAATTCAAAGAGGTGGAAACGTTAAGAGTATCAATAAGCCCCATAAATTTAACTGGTCCAAACTATAAAAAATGTCTAGTCTAAGCCAGGTGTGGTGGCACACGCCTTTAGCCCCAGCACTTGGGAGGTGGAGGCAGGCAGATCTCGGTGAATTCAAGGTCAGCCTGGTCTACATAGTTAGTTCCAGGGCAGCTAGGACTACAGGGAGACCCTGTCTCAAAAAAGACCAAAAAAAAAAAAAAGTGTCCTCTATCTGTTGGCGGACCCACTTTTCCAGTGTCACTGGTCAATTACCTGGTGATAGAACCACTCCTAGAAAGGCAGGGTCACCTTGAGTTATGCTAAATAGATGGTGTGTTAATGAAGTAGCAAACATTTCCTGCCTGGAACTGGCGCAGATCTCCTTAGGCCTTCCGGACCAGCCACAGTCATGTGGGTCTCTGTAAGTCTGTCCGCTTTCCTGAACGCTTCAAGAAGGTGTAATTTCTCCTTTTCTTCATGCCTTTCTTTCTAAACATGCTTTCTTTAAGGCTTTGGGCTGCCCCTAGCATCTTGTAGTTCTCCACTCTTTCTCTATAGCTTCCTTCCCCCAGCCATGTGGCTGTAAGTCAGCCACGTGTCTGACCTCCATGCAGCTCTAAACCTGTATGCGTCATGATTTTCTTTCTTTCTTCCCACCATTCACCTCCTCAAGGCAGCTGCCAAGATTACCAGCTTGCCTGCCCTAAGGATTTTGCTTTAAGATTCTAATAAAATTGTAAAAGCTTCCATTTGGGCCCATTCTTAAATTCTTTTATGAATGAGACTAAGAACTCTCTAGGGGACCCTCTTTCTCCCCATTTCAGAAGTAAAGAGTTTCAAAGGTTTCACATACAGAGAAGATAAATGTGTTTAACACCATTTAAATATTATGAAATAGGCATGCATACTAAGACACTGTATGGTTGTCAACACAAAATCAGAACTCTCACCTCAAAGGGAATAAGAGAGAGATTATTCTGGTGCCAAACATGAGTGATCATGGCCTGGGAACCCTAGATTTCATGTTTCATGTGGTGGCAGTCTCACGAAGTTTTTATAGTAACAGAACAAAGAAAAGGCATAAATCAAGATGCTTTTGAATTATTTTGGTGGAAACAGTAAGGCAGATACAGCAAAAGTGTAATCTCAGCTACAGGCTCAGATGCTATCGATGGCATTCTTAGCCTTTTGATTTGTGGAAACTGTTTCTTTTGTTATAGTAATATATTCTCTTAGTCACAAGATGCTAAATCAGAAACAGAGATGGGTAAGGAGTGGCTATTTAAGGGGTTAAAGATGTCCCCAGAATGCCAGGCTTGGCATTGCACCCCTTTAATCCTAGCACTTGGGAGGCAGAGGCAGGTGGATCTCTGTGAGTTCAAGGCCAGCCTTGTCTATATAGTGGGTTCCAGGCCAGCACCATTACTGGGAGACCCTGTCTCAAAAAGACCCTCCCAAAAAAGATATCCCCAGATAAATTTGTGTATAGGCTCTGGAGCTGCCACATTCCAAACTCTCCAGTCAATTGAAGTGTTAATCAGTTGCTCAGTCTTGCAAGAATTTTAGCTCAAGATGCAGGACTTTTCTGGGAACTTTCCTTCACATGGTACAGCATTACTATAGATAATTTTTCTGTTTTTTATATTTTCTTACTGAAAATATTTATGACATTTATTTTTTGTGTGTGGGACTTTGTATGTGTGAGTGCATGTATGTGTGTGCACATGCATACAGGCTTGTGGGAAAGCTTGGACTAAATCTGAAGGATAAATGTCTCAGCTTGGAAAGCCCCCAGATAAGTTGAGAAACCCCGACCTGGAAACTATGTGAAACCCCAAACCCTAACTCAGTGACTGTGCTGTGTGGGAAAACATATGGCAGCACCCACTGTCCCAAACTATAACTGTTAAGGTTCAGATAGCCCCGCCCCCTCACCAACAGGGTCTCAGGGACTTCTCAAGCTCCTGAGAAAAGGGACCTGAGTTGATAAGCACCTTGGTCTTTTAAGTTAAGAGAAGCAGACTTTTCTCCACTGTTTGGCCAACACAGCAGGCTTCCCCTTTGATCTCTAAAGAGAACAGGCTTTAACAGTCCTGCTTCCCCACAACTTTAAAAAAAAATACATCTTCCTGCCTTCTGTAGGAAGCAGAAGCCTCCCCCTTAAAAAGACCCCAGCTCACAACCTGGAGCAGACATTTTCCCTGCCTGGCAGGGAATCTGTCCCATGAGTTCCTTTGCTAATAAACTCTGCTTTCTCCTGATCAACCCTATTCGTCATACGGCTACTTTTTATCTATCAATAACACCAGCACATATTGTCCCAAACCCTCAAGCCATAAAAAACAGGACTGTGGGAAAATACCTGGTCTTTCCTCCTAAGTCACATAAAAGCTGAGACCAACAGAGCTTCAGAGCCTCAGTTTCCATCCCACAGAGAAATTGTGCTCCTTCACTGTGTTCTTGATAAACAACAATCTGCTCCTGTGGTCAGTCTCAGGTTTCATTTTCATGTCACCCTGGTAAATCCCAATCTAATATTTTGTAACAAAATCCACACAGAGCAAGCAAAATAGTATAGGTCTGACTCCAAGACCTTGCCCACTTCTGTGCCCTGCCTAGCTAGCTTAGTCTGTTCTCACCAAAAGTATGCTTGAATTTGACCTGATACAGAAAAAGAGCTAAATGATTCTATAGACTAAAATGCAAACATTGGTAAATATGATTTCATCTATTAAATTAGGGAATATTAAAGAAGTAAAAATGGGGGCTGGAGAGATGGCTCAGTGGCTAAGAGCACAGGCTGCTGTTGCAGAGGACCCAGGTTCGATTCCCAGCATCCACATGGCAGCTAACAACTATCAGTAACTCCAGTTCCAGGGGATCTGACACCCTCTCCTGACCTCCGTGGGCATTTTGTGACATGGGTGTACCTGAATACATGCAGGCGATACACTCAGACACATAAAATTAAAATAATAAAATAAAAGGAAGTAAAAACATTACTTGAGAGCGTTGACACAGATTCCAAGCATGTGAGTACATGAGAGGCTGGTGTCAGGGTGGGAAGAGAAGGTGATAGCAAAGACAAAGTAGTAAGTGGACACAGCTGGTTCTGTACACTGGCCCTCCCATCGCCAGAGTCCAAGCCCTCCATTAGCTGTCCACACCTTCAAGAAGTCCACCAGCTCAGGGGAGCACCCTTCCCCACCTGTAGGTT